CCAGAGACATTCTGTGGGGGTGGAGTGGGGAATGGGATCAAAAACGGTGGGGGGGGAGGGAGGGAAATGCACGGGACTATGGTGGTGGCACAGGGTGATTTGGTGATGGGAAACCCGCGGGGATTACAATTGAGATGGAAAAAAAATGTGCAAAATGATGTAAAAATAAACTTTGTAATAAAAAAATAGATTTATTTATTTATGAATACAAGAACTGTGGTTTAAGCCAGAAGTAGGGGAAGGGGCCTGCAGTGGCTGGTGATAGCTTGGTAGTGCTGTCTCTAACCCCTGTGCCACCAGGGGGGGCCCTGCTAAAGTCATCTTTAACTCTTCTTGTCTCCACCCCAATATCCAGTTCATGAACATGACTCAATTGACTTTAAACACAACCTCTTAGCAAGAACAAGCTGTTATCTCTATTTTCACTGCCACTACCTGAATCCAAACACACCACCCTCCCCCTCTCTGAGGCCATTTCCCCCCTGCCTACTCCCATGTAATGTTCCCTACACAGTAAACATCGTCTACCACCTTCCCCTCTCTCCACTTTAAATTTTTGTCAATTTGAAATTCTTTTTTAAAAATTTATTTATTTATACATACAAGAACTGGGGCACAGGCCAGAGGTGAGGGTCGGTGGTGAGAGGATTCACCAGAGACAGAGTAGGGAAGAGAACAGGCAGATTGACTGACACACACTGCTAAGGGGAGCAGCGGGCAGGACAGGAGAGGTCTGTTGTGCCGTGTGGGTCACATCCCTGGCTGGGATCAGACTTGTGCTGCGGCAGCTGCAGATAACTTCCTAGTGTTGCACTTTAACCGATTGCACCACCAGGTAGGGCCCATTTTGAAATAATTTTCATTTACTAACGATTTGTGCTTGGGATCGAATGTTTGTGACTCTCTCAAATTCATAGATTGAAGCCCTTAACCTCCAATGTGATGATGCTAAAGGTGGGACTTAGGGAGATAATTAGATCAGGAGGGTAGAACTTTCATGAATGGGATTAGTGCTCCAGCGAGAAGTCACATCTCTAGACCTCTCCTGCTTTCTCACTCCCTTTCTCCTCCTCTCTGCCCCCCTCCTCCATGTGAGGGTAAAGAGAGGAACCACTAAGGAGCAGGTCGTTACTGGACACCAGATCTAACTCTGACTTGATCTTGGACTTCCCAGTCTACAGATCTGTAAGAAGTATATCCACCCCCCCCCAAGTATTTTTGTTACAGCAGCCTCTATGAACTAAGACAATTTGTGAAAGATGGGACACAGAATTCTTGTTTACCCTTCACCCAGCTTCCTCTGTTAACGTCTTACATAACCATAGTACTGAGAGATGAACTTACATGGGTTCATACTAGTCACTAAAATACCCACTTCATATGAATTTCACCAGTCTTCTCTCTGATGTCATTTTCTGATTCAGGATTCCATCCAGACATTGTATTTCTTTTTTCCTTAAAAAATTTTGTTTTCTGAATGAAAAAGATACCTGTACCCCCATGTTTATTGCTGCTTTATTTACAATTGGAAAAACATGGAAGCAGCCCAAATGCCCAAAAGTAGATGACTGG